TTTTCTACCACTTGCCCTAATTATTTTCCCACTTTCAAATTCTACATCAACTTTAATTAAGCTGGCCTCGGGCAGGGAAGTCTGGCAAACTTGGAGAAGTTCACTTGTTTATTTTCTTATCACTCAGTGATTGGATTTTCACAGTGCACTCTGTCTCCCTCTCTCTCTCTAAGGAGGGGTGGTGGCAGCCTCCTGCCTACAGAGGGGGCGAGGATGGCAGGTGCAGCTGAGAACTGGTTCTGCAGCCTTCCAGGAAGGTGCTTCTCCACCCAGATCTACTGTTGGCTAACTTATGCTTTAGTTCTGCCTCCTGTCCCTCTCCCGCCCCCACCCAGCCTGCCTCTGGCTTTGCCCTGCAAGCCCATGAAGTAATAGAGAATGCAATCTCTAAGCAGCGGAGACAGCACTGGACTCGGGGGTTAGAGATGTAGGTTGGAAATTCTGTTCCGTTACTTACTGGGGTGGGGAGTGGAATGTCATTCATGCACTAGTTCATTCATTTACATGTTCATCCGTGTACATATCAACTCATTCTTCACGGCTCTCTCCCTGTCACCAGCAAAGGGAATGGCCTGCTTCCCCTCCTCACTGCAAGTTCCAGGACAGAGGTTCCTTGGCTCCTCTGGGCCTGTTTCTTTGTCCCTGTGTGCTTAGGTTATTTCAAGGACAAGAAGAGAGAGCTGCAACTGGAAGCCAGTGTGACTCCTGGCTCCGTATGGTGGCACTACGTGACCTCGCTAATGTTCCATCCATCACCAGGCACAGGCGCTGGGTCTTTCTGGACCTCCCTCATCTTTCTGAGGAGGACAGATGCTGAGACCATTCCCAGGCTAAGATGCAGACTGAATCCTGAAAGTTGCTGAATTCTGTAATACAGTGGGAGGCAGGAGGACCAGGGCTCTAAAGGATGCCTTGATGGGGAGCTCAGCACATTTCTGGGGTGTCTTGGGTTGGCAATGTGGCTGAGGGTCAACCCCAAGTGACTGGGATAAGTAGCAGGCAGGTGTCTTTGCTGGGTCTGCTGGGGAAGCAGTGTGAGGGAATGAAGGGGTGTGTGAATGGGCGATGGGACAAAGGACCAGTGAATGAGTGTGTGAGTGGACAAGTGAATGAATAAAGGAGCGGATGAGTGAGGGAATGTGTGAATGAAGGAACTGGTGAATGTGTGGGAATGAATAAGGAGGCAAGTGAGAGCTCTAGTGAGCAAGTAAACAAGCAAAAGCCTCATGTAAGTGGATGTCTAAGTGGATCAATGGGGGGACTGGATGAATTAATTAGGGACTGACTGTATGAATGGGTGAGGGGAGAATTTGGTAAGGGATTTTAAAAAAACAATCAATGAGTGAATAACTAGGGGGATAGAAATGAATGGATGGTCTTATGAATTAATGAATGAATTATTGCATAAGTAAATTAATTAGGGACAGTGAATGACTGGTGGAGTAAGCCAACTAGTGGCTGTGGTCCCCATTGCTGGAGTCAGGAAGCCAGGAGGTGCTGGTTCCTGTGGGCACTCAGCGCCTTTCCCTCATCTCACATCAGTGGCGCCCCCCCCCCCCACGGTGGGGCCTCTTACCCGTCAGCAGCTGTTTTGTTATGTACACACATAATAAGGCTCTCCGTGTATGCATATATGTGTATCGTTTACTTCTCCGCCAGAACTGTGCCCTAACCACTGAAAAGCAGACGTCAGTAAAATAATGTATCTCCGGTGGCTTGTCTACCTGTCTCCCTCGCCGCTGAGAAACAGCTCAGCAGCAGCGGGTTAAGCTGACAATAAACACAGGAATTGACTTCAGTGGGAATGAACTTGCTTGACGGTTGACAAAAATCTAAGGTGATGCCCCTTTCCCTGGCTCACCGCTTGCTCTGATGGCTCTTGACCAACGCTGCTTTCTCCCTTCTTGGGACAGGAGGAAGGCATAAAGGCCCAGGCTGACATGCCTGTCTCTGAGCCTATAGGTCACAGTGTCTCGTGCAGGGCAGAGGAGTCTCGGCTTTTGTGGTGGGCATGCATTTGGCTCACTGAAAGGCTACGGGTAGAGTGAGGACTGGGCACGGAGGCCTCCATCCCCCTGCCTCCTGCTTGAGCAGTCCGCAGAGATCACTTGTGGGGGTGGAGGCGTGGGGGTGGGGGTGTTGGCAGCCGCCTTTTTCCAAGCCTGAACCACTGGGGCCAGAGGGGAGAGGTATTCCTCCCCCATTCTCACTAAAGCACCAGGAGAGTGGATTGCAGAGCACAACCCCAGGAGACCCTATTCTGAGACACAGAGGGGAGGGTCTGGAGCCCCCACCCCCAGGGCAGGGTTGCCCGGCAGTGTCCAGCCCATTAGCACCTGCGGGCGGCGAAGGAGCTGACAATAAGCAGGCTTCAGCAGAGGGCACTCAAGTCCTAGGAATCTGCACTCAGGAACTGCGCGCTCTGCTCAGTGGCTTCCCGGGGAACCGGAGTCATGAATCTCAGTAACTCGAGCCCAGGGCCTCATCACTCACAGTGATTGTGGAGGGACTGAGAGCTGAGTGGATCAGTCTAAACAAAACACGCACACAGGAGACTCATTCAAAGGAGCTAGCTTGGCCACCCCTGGGGGCTCCCCTACTTAACCACAGAAGTAGGGAGTAGAGGGAGGGACTGGAGGGCTCGGGAGCCCTGAAAGTATCACCCCCTTCTTCCAAGCCTTATCCACACCCCCACCTGTGAGCCAGTGGGAGGCATGAATCTAGCTGGCAGCGGCTTGGGCCAGCTCAGCCGTTTTAGGGGATGTTAATGAAATTCGGGAGTACTTGTCCTTTCAGACAGCAGCCCCTTTTATTTGGGAATGAAAAGCTGCATTAGTCTGAATGAGGTTTGGAGGCCTCATAAATCCAGTGCTGGCTGCCTCATGGGGGAGCGGGGAGCTGAAGCCTGGCTGGTGGATAGACTTGTTTACCAACAATTCCAAAAGCCAGGATTGGCGGCTCCCAGTCTCCAGAGATGGGACTTGAGATCTTGCCAATCCTGCTATCTGCTGGCTTTGGGGTGGCCCGAAGAGGCACGTGAGAGGGGGCTTCAGAGCTCTCTTAAGATTTGGGGAGTAAGAGCTCTCCAGTTGACTTCAGCTAAGGACTCCATTCCATTCTGCTTTCTGGCCTGCCCTCAGGCAGCCAGAGGCTCCAGGGGCTTCTGCAGGGGTCAAGAGGCTCGGGATGGAGCTATTCCTGCTCGGTCAGTCCAGGTGGTGAAGGGCAGGCACCACAGGGGCGATGCTGTCAAGTTAGCAGCCTGCTGGGTCTGTGTTTGAACCCAGCCTGGCAAACAGTGATGCCTCATAAATATTAGTGGAAGGAAGGAAGCCGGAAAAGAAAGAAGCAAGGGAGAGAAGGAAGGATGCTAGCCGTGTGTGTGTGTGTGTGTGTGTGTGTGTGTGTGTGTGTGTGTGTGTTTGGACTTCTTAACCCCTCCCAGCTTAGATTCTTCATCTGACGAATGGAAAAATAGCAGAGACTATCATGGTGCGTCACAGAGAGGATTGGATGAAGTGATAGGAAAGGTTGCGAGTGCTTTGCCTGGAACGCAGAGAACATGTAATAAACACAAGAATCATGGCTGTCATCAAGGCTGTTTGTCGTTGTGCCTCGAGTCTCGCCCTTCCCCCGTGGCAGAAAGGGATCGACGCCGCCATCAGTTTGGAGCTGTTGGATTATACGATGACTTGCAGTTGGGGCAAGAACAAGGGTCAGGCCCTGGGCTGGGAATAGCAACTCCTACCCAAATCTATCCCAGGGTTCCAAGAGGGCCTGCCGAGTCCTGCCTGAGCCTCACAACCTCTGCAGCCAGGAGGCCGGAGACAAGCCTCTATCCTTAGCTAGGAAAAGCCACCTGCTTGGGGAGGCAGCTGGCTGGGCTGCCTGCTTCCTGGGGGTGGTGACAAGGCTTTGGTGACAGAGCCATACTCTCCCCTTTGGGACAGCCCTGATTTCCTTCTTCATCCATTTACTGTAATGGTGCTACTGCAGCTAGCTTTTAGGGAGCCTGCTCATCTCCCCGACCCTTTAGCTCTCCCTCCAGCTGGCCTCAGAAGTGTCCCTCCCTCCGGCCACGGTTCAACCTTTCTGCTACTTCTGTTTCCTGCCAAGCCACTTGTCCCAGCCTGCTCAAGTCGGGGGAGGGGGGGGTTCTGCCTGCAGAACAGGCAGCCTATAGAATTAGTCAGCCTGGGGCACTGGTCGCTGCACGCCTTTCAGCCCTCTCCCTTTCTCCATCGGGGCACAGAATTATCTTCCAGGAAAAAAAAAAGAAAGAAAGAAAACAACAACAAAAAACACAGCCAAGTCCTTTTGGTTCCAGGAACCAACCGAACCTAGCTGTGGAGTCCGAGCTAGCGCACAGGCAATGGGCTGCCTCCGTGTGTCTCCAATGAAGAGGCTCCCAGCTGTGTCCAGAGGTTCCTCTGCTCGGTTCTTAAGCACGCCTCCACGCTGGGTCCTTGGGGCCTATCCTCTAAGATCTCCACTCCCCGTGAAGAGGCGACAACTTCGGATTTGTGTTTTCCCCTGCTTCTTTGGGCAACACTTGTTCAACACGAGCCATTCTCGATCCAGGGAAGGCCCAAGTATGGCAAATTCGGAGGCCTCCGTATAATACCTACGATGTCCGCGAACAAGGCACACAGCCTCTCTCTTTCCTCGGGCAGAGCCCAGAAACTCTTTGCTCCCAAGGCCACTGGTGCAAGTTCAGATGAGATGGAGCCTCTTCCTATTTGCCAGTTGGCTCTACTGCCCCATTCACATCCCCACACAATGCCTTGGTCCCCTGCGCTCAGATAGGGCGGGAAAGAAAAGATGGGAAAATTAACAGGCGGGTTTGGAGCGCAACACATTATCTATTTGTAAGAAAATTAAAGATTTGCTCTTCAGATGTAGGGGGCATGCTCTTACCAGACAGCTGGCAAATGGAAGAGATTGGAAGTGATTGAACAGATCAAATTATTTAAATGAGAAAAATAAATTCGCACACAGCCTAGCCGCTGCCCGGTGACAGATCCGTTTATTTATCTACTGTATCGGTACCGCTTTGTCTCTGTCAAAAAGGTCATTAAACTCGCCTAGCTGCGTAATTCGCTGCCTCCTGCTCCTGCCTCGCTCCACAGCCCTTCTCTTCCCTCGACACCCAGCGCCACTTGAAAAAAAAAATTATTATTGGTAATAAACAACATTTATTTTTAACCCTTTTAAGGCTTGCTCCCTTGCGGGTCCTACTCTGTCCCATGGAAAATCAGTTTTTCTGTATTGTTTCTCTGGAGGAATCCGGGAGGGGGCTCCAGTTCCTCCCGCATAGTTGCGGAAGAGGACTGAGAAATCAGCCGGCTCCAACTCTAGCGGCCCTCGGAAGCGAAGGCTTTGGCGGTCCTTCTCCGCAGCCCTCCTACTGACCGTGCGTGGTCAAGTCTTACCTTCCACGCAGAGAGTCTGGCCTGGTCTCTCCCTCCGGGTTAGTTCCTGAAGCTCCGCACCCCCTAGCCCAGCACTGACAGTTCTCTGAATTTTATCCCCCGCCCCTCATCCTGCCCTGCAACCTCCAAGCTCAGGGCCAACCCCGCTATCCCGTGGGCTGGAGATCAGGAGGGAAACCAGCTCCGGGTCAGTCTCCTGCCGCTGCCGTCCGGCCAGCTCCGGCCTCGTGGGAGCTGAAAGGCGAGGCTCCGCAGACGGCAGGCTTCGGGTCTCGCCGCTCCCGGCGGGCGCATTTCCTCCAGCTGGTCCGGCCGCTGGGCTGTCGCCGTCTCCCGGCTTGCGGTGCCAGCTCTGGCGCTCCACGCTTGGCTCCCCGGCTCGGATCCTTGCCCTGGGGGCGGCAGGGTAGACGGGGGACGTCTGAGCTGCGGAGGAGAGTCTCCATTCTCCGGGCGTACCCCCCTCCCAAACCCAGTCCAGGGTCCCCTTCCCCGCCCCCTGCGCAGGTGTGAGCGCGCGAGTGTGCACCCGGGCGAGTGTGAGTGGGAAGCGTGTGTGCGCGGGGGAGTACGCGGAGGGAGCGCGGGCGGCGGGCGGCGCGGGAGGCGGGAGGCAGGGCGCGGGGGAGGGGGCTGGGAGGGAGTGTGTGCGCGCGTGCAACTCCACTCCGGGGCTTTGTGCGAGCCCGGGCGATAGCATCGGCGGCGGCTGGAGGAGGAGCGGCCGGAGACGAGTGCAAGCCCGCCCGGCAGCCGGGGCAGGTGGGAAGCCCGCGCGGGAGCCGAGCTGACACGAGCCGGAGACGCCGCAGCCGAGTCCGAGCGGAGCCCGGGCG